AATTGTAAGCTATGGGGGGGTGGGGGGTGGGGGTAGATTTTTGTTTATCAAATGGAAAAATCACCGTTTTCCTTTTAGTGCTTTTGCCTTGTGTGGGGTAGTGTATCACTGAAACACATTTCAAAAGAAAAGGCTTTATAAATAAAACTCTTTTGTGATTAACCATTAACAAATATAAGTATGACAATATTTTGAAGCTAACCATAAGAAATGTAGGGTTCCATGTATTGAAATAAAATAATTTAGAAATCACCTTGTGAATTTTGGATACATCCTTGGAACTTACAATTATATACCTGTGATGGTAATATAATACAACCATATACACATTTCTGATAACACTTCAAGGTTTTTAAAAAGCACATTCTACAGATTTGTATGGAAGGTTTTGGAATTAAGGATTAAAAGTTATGAAGTGAGTTTCAAGATTATTGGTATTTAATAAAACACACACACGTTGCACTGTTCACCTGGATAATAGATAGGTGTGTGGAGGATTGGCAAGTTGTTGAGGTGGAGGGTTATGTAGACAGAACATGATTAGTGTAGAAAGGCTAAGATTACCCCTGTATGGCTGACACATGGTCCCCCAGTGTACACGTATCCTGGACGCCCAGGAATGCCCTATCATTGAACTTACCACCTCCATAATTAGTCAAATTGACTGACTGCTGCCTTTGTTTGAAACAAAATGTCGTTGTTGAAGAATTACAAAATTGAAATCTTTAGAATGACTTCAAATTTCCAATTAGCCATATTAGACAATGTTTTAGTTTGGCTTTCAAATAGATAGATTGGTGGTAGGTATTTATAACAATAGAATGGGTTATAGCCCCCCCCCCCCCCCCCCCCCAAAAAAATGGTGTCTCTTGTTCAACATGGATTTTTACCAAAGACTAAGTACATTGAGGATGAATTTTCAAAGATAGCTACATCATGACAAGACATTATACCGCTACTGGTTTTGTCAGTAACCACTAGGTCACTGCAAGTAGTCTGATTTCTAACTAATGCTTATCAGAACCAGAACTGCAGATCAATATACTAAGACTTTAATTTTATGAACATTATGGTGACAATTTGAAGCTCAATCTTTGTAATCTTTGTTGGTGTATCGACTTCCTTTGGTTGAAATGTTCACGAAAATTGGCACGAAAAAGTCTTATACTCGGTCACAATTTGAATAGTAAGGTATAATGAGGCCAAGAAAACTCAGGCTTATTCTATTCATATCATACATATTTTTTTTGCCCCATTTTGAAAATCCTGGCCATGAAATAGTATTTTCTTTCATTCCATATGGGATATTATTGTTGCTGTGATATTCTGATTGTACACAATACAAATAAGGTTTAAAAGAAAACAGAATTTGTCTTGCTTTTCTCATTTGTGGCATCTGTATATTTGTCAAAATGACAATGAAACATAAGGTATTTACAGAACTTATACACTAGAGTTATACCAGAAATGATTAACTGTCAGTGGCGTATGGTTGTGGAATGTACACTAGAGTTATACCAGAAATGATTAACTATCAATGGTGTATTTTTGTGGAATGAAACATAAGGTATTTACAGAACTTATACACTAGAGTTATACCAGAATGATTAACTGTCAGTGGCGTATGGTTGTGGAATGAAACATAAGGTATTTACATAACTGATACACTAGAGTTATACCAGAATGATTAACTGTCAGTGGCGTATGGTTGTGGAATGAAACATAAGGTATTTACAGAACTTATACACTAGAGTTATACCAGAAATGATTAACTATCAGTGGTGTATGGTTGTGGAATGTATTGTGACCACCAGAAAAGATTAATTTAACTATTTTGTTGCTGTTAGGTTCAAACACATCTGATCCGAGTCTTGATTTAGCAGTTATTTTCTGTATGGAAAGCATCTAGTACTAGGATAGTGTATTGAAGTTGTTTGTGATTTGTACTTTCAGACCCACACATAAAGGTGATAGGAAACCCAGACGAAGTAAAGGCTGCCAAGGATAGCATCATGACTATCCTCGACACAAAGGTCAGTAACAGGTCACAGGATCCAGGTCAACACAGAAGTAGGTCACAGCACCTTGTGTGTTGTAAGATCTGCACAAATCAAGTACTTTGAAATGTCTCCAAAGGGAAATATACTTTTATCAATTTTCATATAATAGTGATTTTAGGAATCTTTGAATTAGTTTTGAAAATATAGAGAAGTAAATTGGCTCTTAAATTTTTACTGAATTTTGCTATTACTCTGTAAAAACCTGTTTTGCTTCATATATCTAGGAACTGAAGTCTCTACACTGTGAAAGACCTAAGAGTTAGTGATAAGTCATTGCTTGAGTTGATTTTTATACTTTTTATAAGTATTATGGTATGGGGTTGGACGGCCCGCATAAACTTTTGTTTGTCCAGCAATCTCCTCCTACATTTTTCTACCGATACTTTGAAACTTGGTATACATTATAATCATAATAAAAGAATTTGATTCAACAATTTTTCCAAAAGTTATTGCCCTTTGCTTTTTTCAGGATTTGATTTTTGTCCGGCAATCTCCTCCTACATTTTTCAATGGATCTCTTTGAAACTTGGTATACATTATAATCATGATATGAAATTGTGTCTCCCTTAAAAGAATTTTGATTTGACGATTTTTGCAAAAGTTAATGCCCTTTGTTCATTTCAGTATTTTATTTTTTGTCCGAAGATTTTCTCCTACATTTTTTATAGCATGTCAGCTAACCACACTTAAAATGATGCAGATCTAATTTCAATGTAAGAAAGTATATAACACTATATGGCATTCAACGGGGGTATATTGTTCCGCCCCGCGGTACTATTGTTACAAAATATAATTACTTGTACTACTGTATACCGGGAAACTTTCGCCGCAGTTTAACTTTCACCCCTTTCGCCTTCCGATCTGAGGGCGCATTTAACATGACGGCGAAAGTTTGAATAGAAATAACGTATACGACGAATCTCAGATACCGTATGTGATGCAATTGGGGTCCAATGTGTTCCAATGTTGACGATGTAGGGTGAATTTAACACTGGGCGAATAAGGACTCTGTCGGTGAAGGGCGAACGTTTAATGGGGAGAAAGTTTCCCGGTATACAGTATGTTATTTTTGTTCAGTTATCTGCTAATCTAGGAATGTATTTATGCAGTTTATTTTTAAAAAAACAATCTCTTTCCCAGGATATTTTTGAGAGGTAATGTAACTATTAAGTTGGAAAACATTTTAATAAGAATTTCATTACAAGCAGATGGTCTAATTAATGTACTTTATATGTAGAAAGTTATTCTATGAAGTTTTATCTGACCTGATGTCGTAAACATCAAACCGTAATAGGCAGTTAGTGATGTTATTATCAGTCTATTACAGTCAGTATAAATCTGATAGGAGAGAGCTTGGGGAAAAGTGGAATTTAAATAACTTCCATGTAAAGGAAGTGGAAGTGTATATTAAGATGAAGGAGTTAAAACTATCACTTGACTGGAGTTATGTTCCGCGGCACTGGACTGGAGTTATGTTCCGCGGCACTTGACTTTATCTGACATTCAACAATCATGATTGTAATTGAAATAAGATGTAAGTCTGACAAAGATATGACATGGGGGGGGGGGGGGTGACTCATAGTACTGAGATACTGGTACATACTACCATACCCAGGGGTAGGGGCAAGATATCTACTGCATGCCCAGAGGTAGGGGGGGACCAATACAATTACTACCATACCTAGGGGTAGGGGTAAACATTTACTACCATACCCAGGGGTAGGGTCAGTACATTTACTACCATACCCAGTGGTGGGGGTAAATGTCTACAGCCATACCCAGGGGTAGGGGTAAACATTTACTACCATACCCAGGGGTAGGGTCAGTACATTTATTACCATACCCAGGGGTAGGGGTAAACATTACCCACCATACCAAAGGGTAGGGTGAAAACATCTACTTCCATACCCAGGATTAGGGAGCAGTACATTTATTACCATACCCAGGGGTAGGGGGCACCAATATAAGTACTTGCATACCCAGGGGTAGGGGATCCCAAACATTTCCCTCCATAGCCAGGGGTAGGGGCTCCAATACATTTATTTCCATACACAGGGGGGTAGGGGCTCCCAATACATTTATTTCCATACACAGGGGGGTAGGGGCTCCCAATACATTTATTACCATACCCAGGGGTAGGGGCTTCCAATACATTTATTTCCATACCAAGGAGTAGGGGCTCCAAATACATGTACTTCCATACCCAGGGATAGGGGTAAACATTTACTACTATACCCAGGGGTAGGGGTAAACATTTACTACCATACCCAGGGGTAGGGTGCACCAATATATGTACTTCCATACCAAGGGTAAGGGGGCACCAATACATGTACTTCATACCCAGGGGTAGCTTCCATACCCAGGGGTAGGATACACCAATACATTTATTTCCATACCCAGGGGTAGGATACACCAATACATTTATTACCATACCCAGGGGTAGTATACACCAATACATTTATTTCCATACCCAGGGGTAGGGGGCACCAATACATGTACTTCATACCCAGGGGTAGCTTCCATTCCCAGGGGTAGGATACACCAATACATTTATTACCATCCCCAGGGGTAGGATACACCAATACATTTATTACCATCCCCAGGGGTAGGATACACCAATACATTTATTTCCATACCCAGGGGTAAGATACACCAATACATTTATTTACCATACCCAGGGGTAGGATACACCAATACATTTATTACCATACCCAGGGGTAGGATACACCAATACATTTATTTCCATACCCAGGAGTAGGATACACCAATACATTTATTTCCATACCCAGGGGTAGGGGGCACCAAAACATTTACTTCATACCCAGGGGAATCTTCCATACCCAGGGATAGGATACACCAATACATTTATTTCCATACCCAGGAGTATGGGCAGTACATTTACTTCCATACCCAGGGGTAGGGGGCACCAATACATATATTCCCCCAATCTGGAAACTGTTGTTTTACACTTTGACATCCCTGAGGAGACACATATATCATCTTCAGAAAATCACACAATTGCTTTTATGCAGAAATTAATCCATTTACCTTCCTTTGTAAATTCAATCAAATTTTAATCTTTTTCGTCAAAAATGAATCGAAATATTAAATTGGCTTCCTTGAATAAAAAGTTCTCCATTGTTGGTGCTGTCAGCGTTTGAGTAATATACTAATATCATTTCTGGCATGGGTGTCTGCTTCAATGTCGAGACTATGGCATAGAAAGAACGCCTTATGAATGACATTTCTGTCAAATAAATTTAAAGGAGTGATATATTTATGGTCTAAATTATAAGCTGTCATCTGGTACATTTTAACTGTGGAACCTTAAAAGAGACCCTTATAGCTAGCGGAAAAAATAATTTGTATAATTTATTCATAAAAAATGTACTGAAGTAACATATTTTTGAGGACAAAGTGTAATAACAGAGTGACACACACAGTATAATGACTGTAGAACAGAGTGACACACAGTATAATGACTAGAACAGAGTGACACACACAGTATAATGACTGTAGAACAGTGACACATAGTATAATGACTGTAGAACAGAGTGACACACAGTATAATCACTGTAGAACAGAGTGACACACACAGTATAATGACTGTAGAACAGAGTGACACACACAGTATAATGACTAGAACAAAGTGACACTACAGTATAATGACAGATTATGACCTGTTTCAGCCACAGAGGGTGTGCTATGTGCTGATATAGGACACCATGATTTCACCTCCAGGTCAAAGGTATCATAAGTGCAAACAACTTTTTGTTATTTGCATATTGGCTAATAAAGGGAAACATGTGTTTGTTTGCAAACACAAATCTCTAGGTGTTCATGTTTATGTAATTAAATAGTCATACAGTGTAAATTCCAACTTGACCAAATGTCATTTCTAAAAAGTTTTAGGAGCTTTTATTTTTTTGTCCAAATTGTATCTATGTTGGTTATGAATGCGAAATAAATACAGTTTGCTGGCATCCTAGTGGTCTTGTGAAGGTATACAGGAGTTGATCAAAATAAAAATTGACAACCTTTTAGTAGCTGGCTCTTATATAAATATTCTCTTTTGAACAGAGTAACCGTGTGACCTTAAAGATGGATGTATCACACACAGACCACTCCCACGTAATAGGCAAGGGAGGTAACAACATCAAGAGAGTGATGCAGGAGACAGGCTGTCACATCCACTTTCCAGATTCAAACAGAGGCAACAATGTACAGGAGAAAAGTAACCAGGTAAACAAAGACAGTACTTAGTGTAACCGAACCATGTGTAAAAAGGCTGTAAATTAACCAGTATATAGAGACAGTACTTATCTATAAATTAACCTTGATCTGTCAGTACACAGTCCGGTACAGTGAATGACCTTGACATGTTAGTTCACAATCTGGTACAGTGACTGACCTTTACCTGTCAGTACACAGTCTGGGACAGTGACTGACCTTGACCTGTCAGTACACAGTCTGGTACAGTGACAAACCTTGACCTGTTGGTACACAGTCTGGTACAGTGACTGACCTTGACCTGTCAGTACACAGTCTGGTACAGTGATTGACTTTGACATGTCAGTACACAGTCTGGTACAGTGACTGACCTTGACCTGTCAGTACACAGTCTGGTCCAGTGATTGACTTTGACATGTCAGTACACAGTCTGGTACAGTGACAGACCTTGACATGTCAGTACACAGTCTGGTACAGTGACTGACCTTGATCTGTCAGTACACAGTCATGTACAGTGATACACTTTGACATGTTAGTTCACAGTCATGTACAGTGACTGACCTTGACCTGTCAGTATACAGTCTGGCACAGTGACTGACCTTGACCTGTCAGTACACAGTCTGGTACAGTGACTGACCTTGACCTGTCAGTATACAATCTGGTACAGTGACTGACCTTGACCTGGCAGTACACAGTCTGGAACAGGGACTGCGCTTGACCTGTCATTACACAGTCTCATACAGTGACGGACCTTGACCTGTCAGTAAACAATCTTGTACAGTGACTGACCTTGACCTGTCAGTAAACAATCTTGTAAAGTGACTGACCTTGACCTGTCGGTACACAATCTTGTTCAGTGACTGACCTTGACCTGTCAGTACACAGTCTGGTGCAGTGACTGACCTTGACCTGTCAGTATACAGTCTGGTACAGTGACTGACCTTGACCTCTCAGTATACAGTCTTGTACAGTGACTGACCTTGACCTGGCAGTACACAGTCTGGAACAGTGACTGCACTTGACCTGTCATTACACAGTCTCATACAGTGACTGACCTTGACCTGTCAGTAAACAATCTTGTACAGTGACTGACCTTGACCTGTCGGTACACAATCTTGTTCAGTGACTGACCTTGACCTGTCAGTACACAGTCTAATACAGGGACTGACCTTGACCTGTCAGTACACAATCTTATACAGTGACTGACCTTAACCTGTCAGTACACAGTCTGGTACAGTGACTGACCTTGACCTGTCAGTACACAATCTTGTACAGTGACTGACCTTTACCTGTCAGTACACTGTCTGGTATAGTGATTGACCTTGACCTGTCAGTATACAATCTGGTACAGTGACTTACCTGGACCTGTCAGTATACAATCTGGTACAGTGACTTACCTGGACCTGTCAGTATACAATCTTGTTTTGTACTGTAATTGACCTTGACCTGTCAGTATACAGTCTGACCTTGGCCCTTCAGTACACAGTTTTGTATAGTGATTAACCTTGACCTGTCTGCACTAAGTTTGGTTCAATGAATGACCCTGGCCTGTCAGGACTAACTCTGGTTTAGTGAATGACCTTAAACTACTTATGATTTCAGGTATCTATAGCAGGACAACCAGCAGGAGTAGAATCTGCTCGGGCACAAATTAGGGTAAGTCTATATACCATGTCAAACTTGTGATTTGTTTGCCTTCACCCTATGTATCAAAACACAAATTTACTTTGGCATTGTTATTTTATCATACTTCCATTGTCATAATTCACATTGATCTTCCTATAGGACTTTTAGAATAAGTAATTTGATCAAAATCTAATCAATTGACAAAGAGTTTTAAAATTTCTTGATGACTAAAGTTTGATTCTATTACATATGTACAATTATAAAGAAAAGGACTACCCATTCTAAATTTGTGAGTATGCTAAAATGGTCAGAGTTTACATAATGGACCATCTGCCCGGTGTAAAATTTTCATATTTAGGCTGAATAGCATTCTCATGCTCTATGCAGTAATGAAATTGATTTTGTGTGAATAAACATTTGGATGTTTTAAAAATAATTGATTGCTTGGCACAGAGGAAACACAGACAAGGTGCTACAGACATTGACAGGGAACAGAAGGCTTCCTCAGTAAATCTTTAAGCTCAATATGTTGGATACATGTTGGTTAAAACATTTATAAAACTTGCCAATTTTTCGAACATCCAAGTGCAACAAATTCCATTTTATACTTACTGGTTACATAAGGGACATCAAGTAAAACTTTGCCATGGGATAGCATTACACCTTAACAATATCAGCCTGAGATGGCACTGATGTACAGCACATGTGGGGATCGTGTACGTGAGACTGTTTCGGACATGTGTCAGGGTATTAACCAACATCAAGTTCCTTTACCGGCAGTTATGTGCATGGCTGCCATGAAATGCACAATAATTCAGATCCACAGGCTCACACAAAATTGGAGAGAAGAATTTTAAAATTGCCTATTTTTATACCCAGAAACTGTTTAAAAGTTCTGGCCTTGTATCAGTTGTCAACGAAATGAAGTGTAATTTTTCATGTAATAGCAATAAAAAATGTGAACTGGTTAAAGTGCCAAGCAAAAGCTTAGAGTGCTTCTGTTCGGTATTGCAGATTTCAGAAATCATTAAATCAGAGATTTTTCAGTAAAGATTTAATATTTCCTCCAAAAGCAGGGGATATCCATTGATTGCTTAGCTTGATTTCAACCAAATTTGGCGTGCAAATTTATATTGGCAAGTGCCAGGCTAAGATTTACTGCCAGCTTGATTAAATGGTTTCTGTTTAAAAGTTCCTCTAAAATTGTTAAATTTTTACCCAATTTGATATGCATACTAAGTATTGCTTTGGCTGAGTGTGCCAGTTTCCACACTATTCTTTTATTTTTAGCTCACCTGCCCGAAGGGCAAGTGAGCTTGTTATGGTGCGGCATCAACAACTTCTTCTCAATAACCAAAAGGCCTAGGTAGATGATATTTGGCCAGTAGCATGCTGGGATCAAGGGCTACCAAGTTTGTTCAAATAAATGACCTTGACCCACTTTCAAGGTCACAGGGGTCAAATATGTTAAAATCTTCAAACAACTTCTTCTCAATAACCAAAAGGCCCAGGGTACTGATATTGGGCCTGTAGCATGCTGGGATGAAGG